TTACTTCTGAATATATTTTGCTGGAATTAAAATCCCATGGATTTTAATTCTTTTTATTGTTTTTTTTTTTTTTGTCATAGGTTACCACAGAGAGCATGATTTCCCTTTTGATTTCCTATTTGATCCATAGACTATCTAGTATCATCTCATAGTTTTAAGAAAAGATATTGTAATTTTTTTCCGAATTGTTTAGATGTATCTCTGAAATTAGTTAAAACTTTCATTATGACCATGTTTATGATCAATCATGAAATGAACATAGGAAGAAATAATCTGTTTTTTTGTTAGAGGGTTATAAAGGGTTTTAAAAATCATGTTTATTGATAATATAATTAAATTTATTTTTTTTCTTCTTTCCAACTGTATTTGTTTATTCCAAAAGGTATACTGCAATTACTAAGTGTACTTGTATTTTTAAAAATAAATTTATTAAAGTTCTAATAAGTTTTACTTTATTACCTGCTGTGTTTTTTGGTATATACAGTTTTTTAACTTTTATATTTTAGTCATAAACCACATATTTTATAATTGTATAATCTTTTTCTTTACCCCATTAAGTACTTTTGACCATAAATTATACCTTGACTGATGTGTGTTTCCTTGCAGTTACCTGAAAACAAAATACCCTTTTCCCCCCAAAAGATACTCATTGCTTTCCCTGGTGGCTCTGTAACCTTGAAGAGATAAGACCTTCAGAATACTTTTATTTTCTGCCTCTCTTCCTTTTCCACCTTATCCCCATGAGATCTTGGAAGTATTTTTACCTCTGCCTACCTTCATCTCACATGTCTACAACTCTCTACTTTGAATAGTTTAGAAATTTATTAATATTTCTTTTATGATATAGTCTTTTTCAAGAGTCTTCATCATGTAAATTATACATTCCTAGACGTATATAAATGTGTATTATATAACAAAGTGAAAGTTTCATTAATTACAATATTACTCTTTCTCTTCATCCTCTGTTACTACAACTCTTTTTCTGGTTTATTTTTTTTTTTCGTTAGAACCTTTTCTCAATTATTGTTCTTAGTTGGGCTGCCTGAGAAAAGACACTGGATTTTTGCATATTTGCAATTTTTTTAATGTACCAAAATCTAAGCTTTGTTGGTACAGAATTATTTCCTCTCTGTCATCTGTGAATGTTCTTCAACTCTCTATTTTTTTTTAAAGATTTACTTACTTTGGAGAGAGAGAGAGGGAGAGAGAGAGAGAGAGAGAGAGAGAGAGAGAGAGAGAGTGTGTGTGTGTGTGTGTGTGTGTGTATGTGTGTGTGAAGGGGGCGGATAGTGGTAGTGAGTGAGGGAGAGAATCTCAAGCAGACTATCCATTGACACAGAGCCTGAGAAGTAGGTCTCAATTTTATGACCCTGAGATCACAACCTGAGCCAAAATCAAGAGTCAGATAGTTAACTGAGCTACACAGGTACCCCTCTCTTTTTAAAGATGAAGAGTCCAATGAGGAACTGTTTTTTTAACTTTTATAGATACTTGCTTTTTAGAGCTAGGTGCTTAATGTGATCCAGCATCCATGAACTTTTATCCCTAAAACCTCTTTGTTTTTAAATTTAGAGTTCTTTTAAAAAAAAAAATTTAGAGTTCTTTTAGTTGTTTTTCTGACTATAGTTGACACACAATATTACCTTAGTTTCAGGTATACAACATAGTGATTTAACATCTCTAAATGTTATGCTATGCTCACCACAAGCGTAGCTACCATCTGTCACCAAACAATGCTTTTGCAGTATCATTGATTATATTCTGCATGCTATGCCTTTTATTCCCATGACTTAATCATTTCATAATGGGGAAGCCTGTATCTCCTGCTTTCTTTTGTCGATTTTGCTCATTCCCCCCACCTTCCTTCCCTCTGGCAACCATCAGTGTGTTTTCTGTATTCATAGGTCTGATTTTGCTTTTTTTTTTATTTATTCGTTTTATTTTTTAGATTCCATATATGAGTGAAATCATATGGTATTTGTCTTTCTCAATCTGACTTATATCTGACCCTCTGGATCCATCCCTGTCTCACATTCCATTGTTTTTTATGGCTGAGTAATACTGCATTTATACATATGGCACATCTTTATCCGTTCATCTGTCAGTGGACACTTAGGTTGCTTCTATATTTTGGCTATTGTAAATAATGCTGCAATAAACATAAAGATGAATATATATTTTTTTATTTATTGTTTTCATTTTCTTTGATAAATACCCAGTAATGGAAATACTGGATCATAAGTTATTTCTATTTTTAATTTTTTGAGAAACCTCCATACTATTTTCCATAATGGCTGTGTCATTTTACATTTTTACCAGCAACACAGGAAGGTTTCATTTTTTTTCCACATCTTTGTCAATACTTGTTATTTTCAGCTTTGTTTTTTTTAAGTAATGGCTTTCCCCCATTTTTTTTTAGATTTACATATTTTTTTTAGAGAGGGAAAGAAAGCACACATGAGGGTGGAGGGGCAGAGGAAGAGGGAAGGAGAGTTGTAAGCAGATTCTGTGCTCTTGATTCTGAGCCTTACTTGGGGCTAATTCTCAGGACCCTGGAATCTTGACGTGAACCGAAACCAAGAGTCAGATGCTTAACTGGCTGCAAGCGCCCCTGATAAGGCCTTTTTAATGGCTGTGATTTTAATCTTTATTTAATTTTTAAAAAGATTTTATTTATTTATTCATGAGAGACACACACAGAGAGGTAGAGGCAGAGGGAGAAATAGGCTCCATGCAGGGAGCTACTGATGTGGGACTTGATCCCAGGACTCCAGGATCACACCCTGAGCCAAAGGCAGATGCTCAACTGTTGAGCCACCCAGCCGGCCCCTTTTTTAAAGATTTTATTTAATCTTTACTTAATTATTAAACTTGTTTTAAAAACAATTTTAAAAAATCTATTAATTAAAAAAAAATCTGTTTCCTATGCAGGGAGGGCTTTGTGACATTGAGCCTGAGAATAGAGAACTCAACATCACCATACTTGTTTGCTTTTCTGTCCTTAGAACATTTTAGTTCTATTGAATATTTTAAGCCCATTTATATCCATAATATAAATAACATAAAGTCCGTGATTTGCAGTTACAGAAGTCTGTATCAGTGACTTCATCTCAGTTTCCTTACCTGTGAAATGTGGGTTTTTGGTAATTTACTTCCTAGAACATCTTGATTCATTTCTAACGTGGTCCTCATATTTGCAGAATAAAGGTCAGGATTACTTTGAGGCATTTATCAGCCCTCCACAGATTGTGGAAGTCTTCCCTTTGTAGCCTACGTATTCCTCATGCATATATGTAAAAAGGCCAGTCACTTAGGTCTACTTAATCCCTATACCTGCTTCATTGTCTCCTGTAACTATTCCTTCTCCCTGGAATCTTTCCTCCACTGATTCTCACTTCCCTTCACACCTTGGTTTGGTGGAAGTCTTATTCTGATCTTCAGATAACAACTGCAGATCTCACTCTAAGAAATCTTCCCAGTTCTCTGTAGCCTAAATTAATCTCTAAATTGTTACTCTCATAGACTTTGTATTTTTAGTCTTATCACATTATGTATTTTATTATAGAAGTGTGTGCATGTGTGTGTGTGTAGTTTTTATTTGACCTTCTCCTACAGTTTAATATGCTTCTATACTATTGGGACTATATCTTACTCTGTGCCTATGTCAGGGCAAGTCGATATTTCATATATTTTAGCTGAATATGAGCAAGAATGAAAAATGTATATTGAAAAAAAAAAAACAAAAACAAAAACAAAAAAAAAAAGAAAAATGTATATTGACCAGTAATCAGTTTCATGGCTTAGTTTTGATATTCTTGCAATCAGCAACACTTTCAGTAAATTTTCTTGGTACTTTATAGCTACTTTTTTTAGGGCAGGTATTTCTTAAGTCAGCAAGAAAATTAACTACAACAGGAACTTCATTAAAGCTACAATTTAGGATATGCAAATGTGAAAGGTTTCTAACTTTATCCTGTACATTTCGCATATATCATTAGTCACTGTTAGACACTTTGGTCTTGCTTAATATAATTCAGTGCTGAATGTGTATTTTAATGTGAGAGTTTTGACATCAACATTTTTAACTTTCATGTAATTTATAATCTTAACTTTGAGTTAATGGAAATTGTTGCTTCTGTAGATTGTGGTTTGAAACTGCTAATAAGTTCAGTCAGTAATACATGATCTTTAGCTCCTAAGCCGTGAATAGTAGATTTCATTTTTTGTTAAAATCTGTGTCTGAACTGAAAGGGGTCACAGGGTGTGAATGGTGAATAAAGCAGTAGGATGCTAATCAGAAGATAGAAGTACTAGTAGACAACTCTGTTATTAACTTACACTGTGTTCAGTAAAGTAACACGGATACTAATCTCCTTTTTTAATTGGTAATAATAGCCTTGCTACTTCATAGCTTGTGAAGTGCCTTCATCACCATTTAAAAAAATAATTTAACTTCTTATAGCTCTTTGAGGTAGTTATTGATCATCCCTGTTTATAGATGCAGAAATTGAGATTTAGAGAAATTAAATCACTCAAGATTTGGCTGGCAGTCCAGTCTGGAACTGGACCCCAGAATTTACCCCAGAGTTAAGACCTTTAGCTCTAGTCATGCTATGGTGAGTATTTGCTTATAGGATGCTACATAAATGCACTGATATTACCAGTTTTATCAGGTGTCACAATAATATATACGTTCCATTGCATGTTTATATCTGTTTCCCTTGGGGGTGTCTGATAACATTAAATTTCAGGAGTATGATTTTTATTACTTTTTCCAAGTGAATTATAAAAGCTATTAGTGATATTTTTTAATTTTTTAAAATTTGCTTCAAACCATGATTTCATTTTAAAAGTTCAAATTAGTTTTATTATTTTTTCAAAATAATTTTAAAAACATGATTACCTAATGCTGACTTTAATATCTTTAAGGTATATAGTTAAAAATTTTATTTAACATTTAATTAACAAGTATTTCTGAATTTTCTGTCTTTATTCTACAGAATGGTAAATAACACTGATCATCTCTAGTAAGGATATTGATTCACCTCATGTAAAGTATGCTCAGTTCCTTTCCAGTGGTGTAAGTATCTAGTCCTTTTCTTAATATTTATATTCTAAATTTTAATAAAGTGAAGAAATAATCATGATTATTATCCAAAAATGATAGCAAGCATTCAGAGTTGAAAGAACTTCTTCATAATCATGTGGAAAGGAATGGATTTTTAAATCTATCAACTTTCTCTTTTACCATTTGTTTTCAACTTTGAAGTCTGGCATTCATTTTCAACATGAAAAACTACATTTCAAACTGCCTAATAGGGTAGAAACTTACAAAACAGATGGCTAGCTACTACTAGATTCCTTGTGACAAGGAGAATAATGGAAGCATGTTACCTTAACACTGCCTTTGTGTGCAAACTCCTTAGCACCTTAGCCATTTCCTTTACCTCCTGGAGATAATAATATAGTTAAGCCTATTAGCTAATGTTGGTAGCCTTTCTTTGGAGTCAGGCAAAAAAAAATACAAATTGATATGGTGGTATTACGTTGAGAATATTTTGTGCTAGGATATGAACTGTAACCACTAGTTCATATTAAGTAGGCCTCTGAATAAAAGTATTCCGGGAATTTCAGATATTAGAGAAGATAAAGTATCTATTAGCTCATTAAGTGCATCTTTAGAGTCTACTGCAGAGTGCCTTTAGCATAAGTATTTTCTAAAATTTGGTGCAGTCTATGTTTCGATTAAATTCCTTCCGTTTTGTCTGACAGTTCTGTAATCCAGTAAGTAGACATTAACATAGATTTTCTTTATTATTTGGATTTTTCATTAAAGTTTTTTCCTCTATCATCTACTCTATCATATATCGAATAGGCCCAGGGGATATGAACTGAGTTTCTGCTAAATAGCTATATCCTTGGGAAATGGCAAGGCAGTGCATTGCTTTGAGCCTTAGTTCTTCATCCCCCAACCTTTTAAAAAAATGATATACCTGCTAATGGCTGTTTTTAATAGCCATTAGAATGTAAGCATCATGAGGCCAGGAGTTTTTGTCTGATCTGTTCTTTGTTGCATCCTTTCTGCCAAGTACATGGTCTGACACATAGGGCATATTCAATAAGTGTTGGTTGAATGAATGATTTTTCTCTAAATGGTGTTTAGTTCTCTACTCTATAAACTTGCATGTTTTTACTTGGATTTTCCCCCCCCAAATATGTATAAGGTGGCTGCAATAAAAAAAAAATTTCAGTCTTAATTGGTGGTAATTTAAAAATAACTGTTATAAAGTGTGATTGGCAGGTTAGAACATAATCTCATTTTTCTCAAGTCTTTTTATTATGAAAAGAACTTTTTCATAATAAAATGAAGTGAATTTCTATCATAGCCCCTATTCTTTTGTTTTAGTCAGTTCTCCTATTGGTTTGAATTATAGATTTATCTTATACTGTTATGCTCAATTCCCACTAAATCTTCATTTCTTACTTATTCTCACTTCTTATCATTTTTATACTTTAAGACTCCCATTCATTTGATGGTAATAATAACTGTGAAAGAGGCTAATGTGCCATAACTAGTAAGAAGGGTCTGAGTGCATCTTTAGTTGATGAATATTATGATTAATTCTAGATTGTGTTAAATCCTCATGCAGTAAATACCAAGTATGCAAAACAAAACTAACTTATGACTAGGTCATATTTTGCCTAGTCAGTCTAGATAAAAAGATAGCAGAATCAAGCTGAAGAAAATGCTAAGTGCTGTAATTTAATAAAATATTATTAACTGTTAATGCTTTGCAAGTAAAGTAGTGATGTTATTTTTTGCACAGGTGATTTTAAGATTAATCATTTGTGAATGCTTTAACCTTCTTTGCTCTATATGTTTGTAAAATTTAGTTTAAGAAAGTGTTCTGGACCAAATGCTGATTTAAGAAGGGTTTAGGTATATCCAAGTAGGGATAAAATTTATTATAAAATAGGTTTACTATTATGGTCCGATAGTATGGTCTTTTGAAATATCAGTTAATGAACTGAGCCATAATCCCTGAATTTAATTGTTCTTTTATGCTTTAAACATTGTGTTACTACAGTGTCAAAATTCTTCTCCCATAATTTTCTATTATTGTTGGCCTGAGTCTGCATTCAGATTAGTAATTTAAAGTGAAAGACATTCCTTATCCTATGAACAGTTCTTGTGCTACATAAGAAAATTAATTTAGTTTTTACAGGTTATCTTTTTCTGTTATAAAAGAATTGCTGGTGTCGTGGACTTAGATGACTGTTGTAGGTCATTTACTGCCATAATTTCAGGATTACATGCTTAAACTAGGTAAATTATGAGAAACAAAGTGTGGAAGTGACAGGCTGTACCTTTGCTCAATGCACATTGAGATACTGTTCTTGATACCCAAGAAAACCTCTAATCTTGGCATTTTTCTCAGTGAAATATAGTACCTTCAGTGTCTTATGCATGATTTGATCCTGCTTATTATGCCATTATCATTCTACTCTGTAGTGATCATACATCCCATTTTAGCAATTATAGATCTTTTTACATTAGTTCTGTCTTTGTACTTGGGATCTCTTTTGGTGCAAGGCACAAATATCTAATTTAAACAAGGTGTAGAATAAGGTGAAATTTATGCTTCTATATAACATACAGCAAGAAGGATAAGAGATGTAGCAGGCACTCAAGAATTGCTAGAATAAAGAATGTGAATGCTGCAGAGCTTTCTCCTTTGCTCTGCATTTCCTACTATGCTTTATTTGACAAAGTCACTTTTTCCACATGGTGAAGAACGTACCAGACTAGTATCTTCCTGCTGCTGAGCACAGTTATAGTGACTGTCCATTTTCCTGCTGATCTAACCTAAATATTTTAGGAAAGCAAGGCTTAGCTTCCTTGTGGGCCCACCCTTTGGCCAGGAGGCAGGATATTACAAGTGGCAGTCCCACGAACATGTGGTTGGAAACAATGAGGCATTCTAGGCAGACAAAATAATACGAATATTCTGTTATCACCTTTCATGGCTTTTGGAATAAAAGTGCTTCCCATGGTGAATCTCAAATGACATAAAATACTAAATTGTTTCAGATGCTTTGGAATCGTTAGTTTTGATAGTTCTAATACAAGCTTTAGGGTGGATACTTTTCAATAACCAGTTATGGGACACCTGGGTGGCTCAGTGGTTGAGCGTCTGTCTTCGGCTCAGGTTGTGATCCTGTGGTCCCAGGATCGTGTCCCACATTGGGCTCCTCACGGGGAGCCTGCTTCTCTCTCTGCCTCTCATAAATAAGTAAATAAAATCCTAAAAAAAATGAGTTAAATTCATATAAAATTTAGTTTAGTTTTATGCTATCACATTACTCCTTACAGAAAAGGATTTAAAGAATTCTATACAGATACTATCTGTTCTAATATAAATAGGATAGGAAAATACCAGGGGTTTTTTTTGTTGTTTTTTTTTTTTTTTTTTTTTTTTTGGTCTGTGTAATAAAACAGTTCTTGAAGTCTCATTTAAACTAAGGTAAGTTTATGAAGTATTTTGAAAACATTAAGACTGAAGTTAGTAAAGGACAGGTCTACTTTATTTTATAAGGGAAAGGAATAATGTGTAAAAACCTCAGTTTACCAAATCAATAAATTAGTTACATTAATTTATTTTAAAATTTAAAAAAATTTTTTTTAAATTTACTTATTTGAGAGAGTGTGTGTGTGTGTGTGTGTGCATGAGCAAGAGGAGGGACAGAGGGAGAGAGAGAGAGAAGGAGAAGCAGAATCCCCACTGAACAGGGAGCCCAGTGTGGGGCTTGATCCCAGGACCCCGGGATCATGACCTGAGCCAAAGGCAGACACTTAACTGACTGAGCCACTGAAGTGCCCCTATTTTTTAATTTCTAATTTTAATTCCAGTATAGTTAACTACAGTGTTATATTAGTTTCAGATGTATAATATAGTGATTCACCAATTCTATACATTAGTCAGTGCTCATCATGATAAGTGTATTCTTAATCCTCTCACCTATTTCACCCACTGCTCACTCACCTCCTTTCTGGCAGTTTCTTCTCTGTAGTTGAGTCTGGTTTTTTGTCTCTTTTACCCTTTGTTCATTTGTTTTGTTCCTTAAATTCCACATGAGTGAAATCATGGTATCTGTCTTTCTCTGACTTTCTGTCCATGTGGTTAAAAATTGCCAGATTTCATTATTCTTATGACTAATATTCCTCAGTATGTGGTTTATCTATTCATCTAACAGTGAACACTTGGGCTGCTTCCATAATTTGACTAATAGTAAATAATGCTGCAATAAACATAGAGATGCATCTTTCTTTTTGAATTAGCGTTTTCATTTTCTTTGGGTAAATACTCAGTAGTGGAATTACTAGATCATAAAGTATTTCTATTTTCAGTTTTTTGAGGAACCTCCATACTATTTTCCACCCTGGCTGTACTAGTTTGCATTCTCACCAACAGTGCGCAAGGGTTCCTTTTTCTCTACATCCTCATCAACACTTGTTTCTTGTATTTTTGATGTTAGCCAATATGACAGGTATGAGGTAATATCTCATTGTAGTTTTGATTTGCATTTCCTTGATAATGAATGATGCTCAACATCTTTTCATGTGTCTCTTGGCCATCTGTAAGTCATCTTTAGGAAAATGTCTCTTAAAAAAAAAAAAGGAAAATGTCTCTTCAAGTCCTCTGCCCATTTTTTAATTGTATTGTTTGGAGGGGGTTGATGTTAAGTTGTATGAATTCTTTATACGTTTTGTATACTAACCCCTAATTGGATATATCATTTGCAAATATCTTCTCCCATTTATTTTTATATATTTTTTAAAGATTTATTTATTCATGAGAGACACACACACAGAGAGAGAGAGAGAGAGAGAGAGAGGCAGAGACACAGGCAGAGGGAGGAGAAGCAGGCTCGCCGGTCTGCAGGATCAGGCCCTGGGCTGAAGGTGGCACTAAACCGCTGAGCCATCCGGGCTGCCCTCTTCTCCCATTTAGTAGGTTGTCTTTTAGTTTGGTTGGTTGTTTCTTTTGTGTGGAAGTTTTTTATTTTGATGTAGTCCCGATAGTTTATTTTTGCTTTTGTTTCTCTTGTCTCAGGAGACCTATCTAGAAAGATGTTCTGGCCAGTGTCAGTGTCTGTGCTCTCTTCTGGAATGTTCATGGTTTCAGATCTCACATTTAGGTCTTTAATCCATTTTGAGTTTATTTTTGTATATGGTATAAGAAAGTAGTCCAGTCTTATCCTTTTGCATGTAGCTGTCCAGTTTTCTCAAAACCATTTGTTCACGAGACTTTTTCCTATTGCATATTCTTGCCTCCTTTGTCGAAGATTACTTATCCACATAATTGTGGGTTTATTTCTGGACTCTTTATTCTGTTCTTTTGACCTATGGTATCTATTTCTGTGCCAGTACCATTTGATTACTAGTGCTTTGTAGTATAACTTGAAATCTAGGATTGTTATACCTTTAGTTTTCTTCTTTTTAAAGATCGTGGGTCTTTTGTGTTTCCATACAAATTTTAGGATTATTTGCTCTAGTTCTTTGAAAAATGCTGTTAGTATTTTGATAGGGATTGCATTAACTCTGTAGATTGCTTTGAGTAGTACAGACATTTTAACAACATTGGTCCTTACAGTCCATGAGCATGGAATATCTTTTCTTTTTTTTTTGTGATGTTCGGCAGCTACTGTTAAAGAGAATTTCCTAGGATTAGCTTTATTATATTACCAAGCACTGATAGAGCAGAAAAATGGCTAAGGTTTATAACAGAAACTAAAGTGTTAAATGTCTCTTATAAGCCACTTGGAAAATGTTCATGTAGCTTTCTCAGCAAACTTTATTTAAGCCTTATATGCCTACTAAAAAATTCACAAATCGGTAGTCACTGCTTGGTGGATGTTCACAGTGAATATACCAGTGTAATATAGCTAGCATGGAACATTACCAACACTGCATAGCATTTTAGTAATAGATCATTCATACTAAACCAGGTGTATTGTTCTTTTGAAATTGGTCAGGAGAAGAAGTTTTCTCTTCCTTCCCAACCAGATGATGATATATTAGGGGGGGATGTATTAAGCTAACAAGTAGTAAAATACACTTGTAATAGCCAAAGCATTTCAAGATTTATTCATGTCAGTGATACAGACTAAGTGCATGATTAGATGCTGAGGGAGGGATAGAAGGAGAGAATCTTCAAGCCTACTTCTCACTGAGCCAGGAGACCCATGCAGAGCTCAACCCCATGACCCATGAGATCATGACCTGAGCCAAAACCAAGAGTCAAACATTTAACCGACTGAGCCACCCAGGTGTGCCCCATAGTCAAAGCATTTAGAATAGCTAATGATTGGAAATAGTCCTTGTGTCTAAAATAGGATAAACAAACATGAAGTATATTCCTATAATGAAGTACTACTCAACAATATAAAGGACAAACTACTGATACATAGTATATCATACATGAATCTCCAAAACTTTATGCTGAGTGAAAAGAGTACATAGAAATTCCATTTATAGGGGTGGCTCAGCGGTTTAAGTGCCTGCCTTTGGCCTAGGGCCTGGAGTCCCAGGATCGAGTCCTGCATTGGCCTCCCTGCATGGAGCCTGCTCCTCCCTCTGTCTGTGTCTCTGCCTCTCTCTCTCTCTTTCTCTCTCTGTGTCTATCATGAATAAATAAAATCTTAAAAAAAAATTCCATTTATATGAAGTTCTAGAACAGGGAAAACCAATCTGTGGTGGGAAAAGTCTGAGCAGTGTTTCCCTGTAAGAGAAGGGGTTAAGGATTAGCTGGAAAGGGAGCACTTCTTGGGATGATAGTAATATTCTGTATCTTCAAAGGCATTTTCAAAGGCTATGTATTTCTTTTTTACAATTTGTACTTCTCAAAACTCATAGAGTGGTAAACAAAAGATTTGTGTAGTTTTTTTGATGTAAATTTTACCTCAAAAGATAAAACCTGAACAAATACTGAGCTCTAGTTATTGAAATGCATGTGGAAATATTTAGGAAGAAGTATACAAATGTCTGTAACTAATTTTCAACTGTAAAAAATAAGATGAGTATAGGTATGGATGCATAAGCAAATGGATAGTTATGTTATAAAGCAAATGCAATGTTAACAGTAAAATGTAGATAGTATGTGGGTGTTTACTGCAAATTTCCTTCAATTTTTCTATATGTTTAATGTTTTTTATAATAAAATGTTGGAGGAAAAAAACTCAGGCAATCGAGAAACAAAATAATAGTCATGAAAATAAGACTTTTATCATGGCTAGCTTGTCACAGTGAGTATTGGAAGAAAGCAGAAGATAATGTTCAGGTGTAAGGCAGACACTGTCCTATGACCACAACTGGCTTGCAACATGTAATTTGTGGTCCACAAAATACATTTGTTTTTATTTTTAGTTAACCTGTCTCTAAAATAAGAGTGATTTCACATAAAAATTTTAGATTTCTGTCTGCTTATTTTTAAGAGGATTTGAAAGATAAGTCAGTCAATAGAGAATAGAGAACCCAAAGGCAGATAGAGATTTGTGCAGAAATTTTGTATATGAAAAAGATTGTATTTCAGATGAGAAGAGACATATTACTCAGTAAAGCATATTGGACAACCACCTATGCATTTGAGAAAAAATAAAACTCAAATCCTTTCACATTCATTAAGTAAATATAAATTACAGGTGGAGCAACGATTTAAATGTTAAAAAAAAAAAAAAAACTATTACTAGAACCCCTAGTCCATCATTAAGATGGTTGTATCTAAGTGATTTTAACTGGAGACTTAAAAGAGTTTGATAGCATATATCCCAAACCATAGGTTTCCAGTAAGTCCTGAAATATGTTGGGAAGCAGAATGATATATGCTTTGGAGTCAATAATATCTAGGTTTAAATCTTTTTTCTACTCTTACTCAGACTTTTTGCAAGGTACAGAACCACTCTGAGCCTTAGTTTCCTCAATAATTAATATACAATTTAAAAAATCTTCCACAGAGGGTTGTTGTGAGGATCAGATGAAATTACATTCTGTGAAATTCTTGCCCAGTGCCTGCCTAGAAGTGAATATTCAATAAATTTTTAGTATAGAGTGAGGAAGAAACAGACTTTGAACAGCTGTAGGGAACTGGCCCAGAACAGATGTTTCACCTATAAAGGATGAGAAAATTCCTTGACATTTATTTCCATTAGCAAACATTTATTTAGAACCTACTGTATGCCATGCATCCTATTTGGCATTATAACTATAAAAATAAGAATAGAAGAAATTACCACTTCAAAAAATCTTAAATTAGGAAAGTCAGATTTTATAAGAAAGGAATTCAAGTAGTAAGAATTTTTATTTTATTTTATTTTATTTTGATTTTTTAAAAAGATTTTTTTTTTATTCGTGAGAGACGGGGTGGGTGGGCAGAGACACAGGCAGAGGGAGAAGTAGGCCCCATGCAGGGAGCCCGATGTGGGACTCAATCCCGGGTCTCCAGGATCACACCCTGGGCTGAAGGTGACACTAAACCACTGAGCCATGCTCACCGGGCTGCCCAGAGTTTTTAAATTCAATAATTCCCTTAAACTTAATATTATTATGACTCTAACATTTTCTGGCATGCTGCAGTTTCTCCTGTTAGTTAAAGGAAACATAATGTGGAAGCAATTTCCTAAGAAAACTGAATAGTTTGGCTACAACCATGAAAGATCCATTTCTTGGGATAACTATTAAGAGAGAATGCATTACAGAGATGAGATACTAAACGAAATTGCTAAGTGGTGGGTGAAATGGTACTTAAGTTTTTTTATGCCTTTCTTACTTTTCCATTTAAATATTTTTGCTGGTTGTTAGTATTTGCCTTGGCTTACTTTTCCATGTCATTTGTTTACATTAAATGAAGATACAACTTCCTAGATAATTTTTTCCCCACATTTAGTAAAACAAGATAACACAAACTGTTTTTTCAACAGCATATCGTTAATAGTACTCTAATGTAATGAATTCGAGATAGAAAAACCCTTGTGAGTAATCACGAATAGGCTAGGATTAAAAGTGTATGTATCTAATCTGCTATTTTGATATTATTGCCATAACTGAAATTTCGGTTTAAATATTTACCAGATTGAGGAAAATGTAAATTGTACACCATATGAAATTGGGTTTTAGACATTAAACCTAATGTCCATCTGCTAATAAACTCAGTAACTGTGCCAATCTATTTGCTGTGACAAAAACATTTTAGCATGGAGTGATAATAACTTATTATAATTATTATGATAATAATGTGTTGTTTTCAGTAAGAAATTTATTAGGAATATTTTGCATTTTCTCCTGAGTATTCTCTATAATGATATGTTCTTTGGTACATGTTATAAATAAAAGATTTATTTTTATTTTTTTTATTTTTTAGTTTGCTGGAAACCATGTCTCACTATACAGATGAACCCAGATTTACCATAGAGCAGATAGATCTGCTTCAGCGCCTTCGGCGTACTGGAATGACTAAACATGAAATTCTCCATGCCTTGGAAACTTTGGACCGTCTTGATCAAGAGCATAGTGACAAGTTTGGAAGAAGGTCCAGCTATGGAGGAAGTTCTTATGGGAATAGTACCAACAATGTTCCAGCATCTTCTTCTACAGCTACAGCTTCCACACAGACCCAACATTCTGGAATGTCCCCATCGCCTAGCAATAGTTATGATACCTCCCCACAGCCTTGCACTACCAATCAAAATGGAAGGGAGAATAGCGAGCGATTATCCATGTCTAATGGAAAGATGTCACCCACTCGCTACCATGCAAACAGCATGGGTCAGAGGTCATACAGTTTTGAAGCCTCAGAAGAGGACCTAGATGTAGATGATAAAGTGGAGGAATTAATGAGGTTAGTTCCTTTGCTTACTCAGAGTTCCCCAAATGTCTGTGTTCTTAGATTGGTTTTTAGTAATATACTGTATTTCAGCTACTTACTTGTAAGAACTATGATTTCCCCCTGCTCCCCTTGGAGATGAAAGAAGATATTTTCAAATTTTATTATTTTAATTCAAATTTTGTCTTCTTTACCTTAGCCCCTTCTCTTTGCTGCCTGATAATAAGCCTTTTCCATTCTGTTTATCAAAGCAGAAAGTAGCCTTCTCTTTATAGTTCTGACTGCTAACATCTGAATTTTCTGAATTGTTAACACATTCTAATCCTTAGAGTTTTCTGAGAGAAAAGATGTTTTATCATGATACAGAACTTGTACACTTAGTTTTTCACTCTAACATACCACATCAAAATAATTTTGAGCACCTATTATATAAAAACTTGTGTTCTTAGGAAGAAAAATAGACATGCTTCCTACCCCTAAGAAGCTAAAGTTCTAAGTTAATAGATGCCATATATATTATCTATTACAAGGTAAGTTTAAGCCTTTGTTGTTTTAAACACTGAGAAAAGAAGTCCACTTTCAACAGATAAAATTAGGAGACACTTCACATTGGACCTGGAACACTCTGAGGCCAGTAACCATGTGTTTTCGAATGTTGTGTTTCCTGGATCTAGGATTGTCCTTGGCACATGGTAAGGGTTTAATATGTTAAGTGAATTGATGAATTTGAGCTAAATTTAAAAGGATAGCTTTTGTTTTGAAATATAGGAACTTTATTTAAAGTTAAGGGAATAGTAAAAGGTAGAGAAGGCAAGGCATGTTTATAAAGGGTGCATGAGCTAGACTATGGTGATAAGAATATTAGGATACAATACAGATTTGGGAAAATTTGAGTTCCACACAAGTAGTTTTATGTTTAATTTGGTTGAAATTAAGGATTTTTTACAGGTCTTTAGGAATAGACATGATAAAAGCATTGTTTTCAATAGATTATCAGTACTGTAGTGGGAGGAAATCCTGCAGATAGATTAGTTACAGTGGAGAAGCTGTAGCATGAATTTGTCAGAATAAAGTTAAAACCTATAATGAGTTATAGTTCTTCCTGATGATTTTAGGGCTTGAAAATAGTATAATGGTGACTAAATATTGAATATAGAAGATCGGCTCTATAGTACCACAGTGGTAAAATCTTTTAAACAAACTGTCCCAAATTTATTTTTAGGGTAGCACTGCCTTGTATGAAATTGTGAACTGAACAGACTATCTAGATTCTAATATAATTCTTATAACGAATAGTTTCATAGAGCAGCTGTAGAACTCTGTTATTTAAACTTTTAAAACTTTAAGAGATCAATTTGATTTTGAACTCATTTGTACTTGTTAAAGCAGCTGGCCACAGTTTAGATGTTCCTTTTGAATTTAACATGTGTATCATTGTCATGATTGAGAGGGAGAACTGTTGCTGCAAATAGACGGTTACTTAACTCATTAAAATATAACAGGGTTAGCTTTTAATTATCCTGAGTAGAGAGGATATTATATCAACAATAAAATTTATATGCTAGCATGTTTTTTTGTTGTTGCTGTCATTAATCAGTTTTAATAAGCTTTTAACATAACAGTTATTCCCAAGTGTGTATTAAACTACCACAAAATTTGGGGAAACTTAGTTATTAACTAAAGGCTCTGAGATTGGCCAGGGTCTAAAACTTGACTGCAAGGATCTAAACACTTAACTATTAGCTCTTACATTAGCATAATATAATTCAACTATGTTCTCAGAATCAGCAGTAAACCTCTTTAGCAATCACTAGGATTTGTAGTTAAATCCCACAATTAATACACCTTCAAGTTTTATCATTAAAAATATACATGTTTTGCATTGTTACCAGCATTTGGTTTACTAACTGCCACTTGTTGCATAGTTAGTATACTTTATCTTTACCCTGTTCTCAACTTCTTTCTTTGAACTGCTACTTTGGTTCTTTAATCATCTAAGGGTCTCACTGAACCTTCTGGCTCTCTGTGGTCCTCTGCCATTGTGTCCTCTCCCACACCTGCACTCCTCCTTTGTGCCCACCTCTTATTTTTCTCAAGTTTGCACATAATAACAACCTTAGGTCAGAGGAAGAAGTTTACTGCATGACTGTTCTCACTTTTAATCACTATAACCATGCTGTGTATGAGGTGGAGGAGAGAGATTGAGATTCATAAAATTTAAATAACGGGCCCAAGAAAATTTAAATATTAAGTGGCAGAGCTTGAATTCTAACCCGTGTCTTTATTACCATGTCTCTGATACCTGTTGCCTCTGTAAATAAGTTTTTCATGTCTGCAGATTTGAGTAAGATTTCAAGAACGGTGGTTGATACAACACAAATCAAAGTTGTGAATGCCTTAATGGGCTGTTCCTCCTTCCCTCCACCTCCCACATGATATTTGCCACTTCAAATCAATTACTAACCAGATAAATTTTTATTTGGTAGAATGCTAGAGAAATTTTTTAGTGGATCTTTCTGAGTATACTGTGCCACATGGTGCTCTACTGCCCTCGCTAATCACTCAACACTATGGTGATATTGTAGTAGATTAGATTTGATAGGCTATAAGTGGGGGAGAATGGGTAACTGAATGCCTTCCTGTCTCCTTTTATAGATAATCATATGTAATTCACATCTTGCATGCTCACATTTCCCAACCCCCATAGCACTCAATCATAAGTTAAATATTTTTCAAATCACGTAACCCACTGAGTTCATAGACTTAACACTTAAAAATTTCAAGGTGCACAAAAGACATTTTTTGTAGAAATTAAGTGTATATATACCTGATCAACCTGTTAGGAAAGAATCAGAAAGAAAGAAGAAAGAAACTGCTACTTTTCCCATTTTTTAATTGATTGAAGTGAAAAAAACAAAACAAAACAGATAGTTCTCAACAAATTATTGAATTGAATGTATAACATTTTAGGAAGGACTTTACAGCCAAGAGCTAGAAGACCCATTCCACATATTAATATTTTAAAATGCATCTATTGACATACATATTTATATATTGATATATATGTACATCTGTTAATATTATACTGTAGATTTGTTCCTTCATGTATACATTATAAAATAATTGAAATGAGGCTTATCAGGAATTCATAAACAATGCCATATATTAAGGTGTTATTCTTAACTACCCATTACTAAATTTTATGACTATGTTTATATTTTGTATAAGATCCAAGACTTTATTCCAAGTGATTAACTATATGCCCAACAATAGGTGATTTAGGATATTGATTTTCTAAATTCAGTTACTATGTTGTGTATACATATAGAGTAGCTTTCCTTTTAAAGTTATCTTAAAATTTTTTATATTATCTCCTTTATCTCCCTGAGTAGAAATGAAGGGAAACGGGTTTTTATTCAAAAGTTAAAGAATTTGTATGTAACTATATTTTCCCACCTGTGAAATAGTCTTGTCTTTGTAGGTATTGCTCAATCTCTGGAAGACTTTGAGATAGATGGCTCTTTAAGGAGTCCTAAAGAATGTTTAGCATACATACCAATTGAGAGAATATGGAAGATCTTAAAGCACACAACTTTTAAACATGTAGTCTTTAATCGTCTTTGTTCCAGAAATGGAAGGATTGCCATTTTGAGCTAGCATAAATAATTTTTTCCGATCTGACTTGGGAAGCTTAAACATATTTGAGATGAAGAACTTAGAGCTATTTTATAAATTATCTAGATCAGGTTTGCCATTTTACAACCTTTTATCTTCAACTATAAATTTGTTCATTCATTGAACAAATTAAACTCTATTATATGCAAACTCCATGATGAATAAGACACAGTCTTTGTGCTAAAAGACTTCACAGGCTAGTAGGAACGATAAGACCAGATCAGGAACAACTATAATACAGAAGAGCATGAAATATAGTAGCATGTGAGTAATATAATTGAAATGATAACGTTAACTGTTGGAAGAAAGATCTTTTTTAGCTATGAGGATCAGGGAGAACTTCTCTGAATAGATGACAGTTAAATTGTGTCTTAAGAGTGATTCTACAAAGAGGCATTACTGATTAATTCATTTGGATATTAAGAAAGGTCTATAGGTAACAATGGAAAGTTTAGCAAGTTATAAAAATAATGGCAGTGGAGGGTGGAAAGGAAGAGTTTTATCCTCATGTGGAAAGAACCTCAGTAGATGAATTCTGGATGGCTGTGATTTGGAAAAGGTGGTAGGAAGAGATGGCATGGATTTTAAGTGGTTTGATGCAAATAGAATGGTAGCTTATCTTGGGATTAAGCTATGGAATCCAAGAAAGATCAACTTGTGTTTCACTTCAATTTCATAAAACTTAAGGAGTACAGATCATGAGGATACGAGATTTTTATAAGAAGTGAATTATGAGGAGTCCTGGGTGATTAAAATAAAAACTTGAAAAAAATTAGTTCTCAAAAAAAAAAAAGAGAAGAAAAGGAATTAAAGAGGATGAAAAATTTCAAATGAAGGGAGAAAGAAAGCAGTGGGAGGGTATAAGAAAATTAGATTTGGAAGGAAACAAAGGAGTTTTCACACTTAAGAAACCTGTCATTTCAGAGTTACTATGTGGACAGTAGGAGAGGCAAGTTGTTAAGGAAGACAGAATGAGGGGGAATATTTGAAAGTTTAAAGAACAAGTTAGCCCTGCAGAATGGAGGTCTCTGAAATACACAAGAGAATTGGACATAGTGAAGGTTGAATACTGTTACTATTTTGAAAATACAGGTTCCTCCCACTATTGAAAGCTTGAGTTACACCACTTCACTTTAGGAAAGACCTCCATTAGTCCCTGTTTTCACTAACTGAAGAAAATGTGAAGGGTATTTTTTACTTCTACAAAAAATGCTGTTAGTACACTAATGCAGGTCTTTTATAAAAGCAGAGTGGGATAATGTGAACTCTCAGAAAGCATAGGATACCTGTAACTAGTGAAAATACTAAGTGACACATCACTCACTGTGTCTAAATTGACATCACAGAAATCTTTCCATGGTGCCTTGAAGTACCTCATGCAGATATTTACATCAGTCATAGGTAGTTACAGCAGATCGCTCATTTCTTCAATGGGGTGTAATACACCCTTTCTGGGGTTTTATAAAATAATAGTCATTGTTTATTGAATGGTTTTACAGTTTCAAAAGTTTTTACATTGAGGAATTTTTAATTTTATATATTATACACATATATACACATATACACACATTTAATACTACATTTCATTTAAAATTAATTTCAGTGTGTGGAGAAAAATTTTAAGACCCTTGTGATTGGGATATTAATGTTTTCATTTTACTATATGATGAAACCAGGGTCTAGCTGTATTAAATGACTTGCCCTAGAGTTACCTTACTTTTTAAGTCTTACGTTTTTCTTCTATTTGAAAACGCTTCTCTCTATTGACTAAAGAGGTTTTGTTATTATTTTTTTAACTCATTGTGGGTACTTACAAACTTGCCAAGTATCTAAAAATATAGTCTGTGAGAGGGTAAGTGAATTGCTGCTGTTTTGCAGACTTTTTCAAGTTCCTTCTGTCTTGCTGCAGTCCTTGATAAATACCATACTGCAAGGCTGTGAATAATTCACAAACTGGATACTTCCTATTGGAATAATTGAGTGTTATCTCCTCTTTATGATTTAGTGTCTACTCTAGGTGAATTTGACTTAAAATAAATTGATTTAAATTCCAATTTAAATCAGTAGCCAAGAAAATACTATTTAATCATTTTTCCCACAAAAGCACATTTTTTTATTTAACCTTAATAAATATTCTCTTAAACTCAATTTTCACTTTCCTAGAAGGATATTCCATATATTGCAATGCAGGGCTTTATTTAAAATTTTCCAGATTAATCTTGAGGTTGTATCAGAAACCAAATGATTTGGTTATTTTAGTTACATAAGGCAAATGAAATTCATACTACTGAAGTTATCTCTTGCTCAACTGATTTTTGGTGAATTTTTGAGAGCCTTTTGGCTTATGCTACCTGTATTTTACTGTGCAGTTTGTTTTATTTGACTTTAAAGTGTATGATTTGTGCCTCTTTCTTTCAAATATAGTTTTTAAATAAAATAAGAATGCATATTTTTTAAAGAAATACTTCAAATATAAACAAGTGAAAGTTTTGGAAAGAATCTAGCCATACCTAGTTCAGAATCTAGATGAGTATGAGAAATTTTAAATATTGAATTAGGCAGATATGACTATTTTCTTTCTTTAGAAATCTTTTTGATTAGGTAGAATTTCCAACCAGTAGATCAGGAATATACTGTAGAACTTCAGATTGAATGTTGTCCCTACTATCGCTTCTCTGCACTTTTCCAGAATTCCTGAAAGGGAACATGGAATCCGCCAACAGAATGGTAGATTCTCTCCTCACCAAGGGGCTAAAATACCTGCTCTTAAGTTATATCACAGCTGATTCTTTTCGGATGGGATCTTATCTTTCGTTGCTCCAAATAATCTTTAGGGAGACTTGAGCTCCCATAAGAAGTTTGTGGTTCATTTACAAAATGATTTGTAAAGATTTAATGACCCCATTGTCTCAGATCAAGGGTCAGAAAACTTTTTCTGGGGAAGACTGGATGGTAAGCATTTTACACTTTGTGGCCAAATTGAGGATATAATACACATACTTACATCTAAGAGAAAACAAAAATCACGCATTTTTATTGATAAAATTTAATATAGAATAATAATAGTTGAATATAGTTTTTAAAATATACGCCAACCAATGAGAAGAATGGAATTATTGGTGGGGAGAATATGATACTTTGCTTAATTCATGTTCAATGTTAGTGCTTACTGTCATCAAGTAATGATTACAAGTGTTCATCTTTGAAAACCATTCTTAGTTAATAGATTGTATAAAAACAGATGGGAGACCGAATTTAGCCATATTTGCTGACTCTATATGAGATTATAAATTACCACTCTCCTGTGTTACTTTCGAACTTGATGAAAAATCAGTGCTTTACTTATCTAATCCTTTTGAACATAAAGCATTCAAAGAGAAATTGGTTTGTTTTAAGGGTTCAAGTATAAGTTTTACTTAAGTATTTGTTCTGGTGGAGAAATAGAAGTCTTGACTTTCATTGTTATTCTAGTGAATGTCTAGTCTTTTGAGAATTTGTTGTCTTAGTGGAGGAAAAAATAAGTCTATAATATGTAATCTCAAGGATACAATATAATATAAAGTATTCTATATATTATATATAATAGGAAATAAATAAGTGCCTTTTATATTAAAAGTTCTATATTCACCTCATCCAACTTAAATTTTTTTTTGGTTTATATAGAAAAAAGGCAAATTAAATTTGTTAAAATGGCTAATACTTCAGCAGTTGTAAGAATGATGATTTCTGTTCCTTTAACAAAAGTTTTAAAATGACTAAACATTATTTATGCAGTTATGTAGTTAACATGTAAGACCACAATCTGCTCACAACTGATCTTTGTTGTTGTTGTTGCTTTTTATTTTTCTAGGATTTCTGTCTGTGTAAGGTATATTCATTCCTCAGTAATGAAACTTAGTATATACCATATGGCAGCCTTGTTCCTAATGTGAATTATACACAGCATGTGATTAACCATCCTCTGGTATGAGACTTATATCTACTGTGGCATTCACTAAAGCGTCTGTCTGATGGTGTGATGTTTTAGGACTTGAATATTTGGTGTTTCTTGGTTTGTTTTAATTTCATATTTTCACACAAGCTTGGTCTGTTTACCTTTATTTTTGTGTCTTTTCTTTCTATGTTCTCCCCACCTCTCTACTTCACCTTTCTTAGCAAAGATGAGGATTTCTACCTTCAACATACATTGTTGGTCTTGTCTTCTGTTTTTGTTAGGAGGGACAGCAGTGTGATAAAAGAGGAAATCAAAGCCTTTCTTGCCAATCGGAGGATTTCCCAAGCAGTTGTTGCACAGGTAACAGGTAAGAGCTGAAGAGCCCTTTATTCTGGAATCATGTCTAGTCTCTGCCTTCTGGTGCAGATGTTGGAATATTGCTTGCATTTCTGCATTGCAGTACAGACCTGTCAATTTAGGCATAATAATATATGCCTGTGATTTAAAACCCATTGTCTCTGATATCATGGAACTTCTCCAGTATTTTTTTTTTTTACTTGTGCTAGTAAGTTTTATAGCATTTTTGATAAGCACAAAATCCCCCATTTTATGGCTAAAAAAAGGGTTCTCTGGTTTTCTTATAATTGTGACAGAGCTCATGACACATGCACATCCAACTGCTATCTACAGTTCATATTTTTAAAAGGTTTACAGTCCTCCTAATTCCTGATTTTACCAATTAAAAAAAATGATTCATGAGAGTAAAGGAAGTTTTTTTAACCACCTTTCTGTATGTGAAAGCTTTCCTCAAACCATTACGGAGAAGATAAGAGTTATCATTGTCTTCTCTTTGTTCTTTATATCCCATCCCATTACCCACCCCACTGCAGCCCCATCTCAAGTATGTGGTGTATATGTGTCATTCTCTATTCAGATTGCGTTTTTAATGGAGTTCTTAAATTTAGGGGTAGCCTGTCTTCTTTGTTGGTATGTAGTCTTCCTTTCTTGGATATTAGTGGTTTATAAAGACCTTTAAAATCAACTATGCCTTAGTCATGAGAAACTCTTGTAACTACGTTTTGTAGTTGATACATTGTTGTATGTTGTACATTAGTAGATAATGAAAATTAATTTTTTCCTCCTTCCACCCTTTTAAAACTTGCCAGTAACAGCTATGTGACTTTGGGCTTTTTAGCCTCTATGCCTCAGTTTCTTACCTTTATGATGAAATAGTTGGATCTGATTGCATAATACCTTCCGATTTTAAGGTATCATTTTTGTTCTCTAGACATCAATATATATTGAAGCTAATTTACCTAAAAGGTTGTTACTAACCATCAGTATTGTTAAAAATGAAACTTGAGATTTCAGAAGTCTTAAATTTCATCCCAAAAATCTAAGGTCAGCCAATCTTAATTTGTGTATGTGTGTATAATATATAATACTAGTAATATATTTTTATAAATGATGCCTCTGTTCATGGTAAAAGATTTTAAATAAAGGCATATCTTTCCATATAGAAATCTTAGAGGGATGATGTGTGAATTTAATTTTTGTAATTTTCAATATATTATTTAAAATAAACTTGTACCTTTATCTTCCAGGATTAAGGAATATGCTAAGGGCACTATAAGGGCAAGTTAAGTGGGCTTTACCAAAACCCAGTGATGTACACAATGAAAAGATTGAGTGTTGTCTTTTAAGCTTTTACTTCGCCTCCAAGATCAGAAGCAATAGTATCTTCGAGTCTGCCAGCCAACAAAAAAGAACAAAATTATAGTGTTATAAAACAGCATTATAGAGTTCATGTTTTCTTTCAGGTCGAAGTATTTGAGGATCTTGAGTACCCTGAATCTTGGATCATCTTGGACTTTTAAAATAGTAGCTTTTGAAACCTATCTGAAATTGATGCAAATTATAATAAAATACCTTTAAATGGAATTTCTTAGGAATATCTAAAAGGACTACCTATAGTATAATGTATTAAACATAGTAGCATTGTGTTTTTGGAAAGGGAAATTGAAAGATGCTTTAGCATCTTGCTACTCAAAGTGTAGTCCATGAAACAGCATTATTTGGAGCTTGTTAGAAATGTAAAAATACAGAGTACTACCCTACATGTACTGAGCCAGAATTTGAATTTTAATCAGATCCCCAGGTAATTTGGGTTGGAGAAGTACTATTCTAGGAGATTGGTAAGCTTTCCTGACATTTTCAATGGATTGGTATAGTTTTAACATTGTCGTACTCCATAAAAGTCATCATGATGCCATCTCCTGTTTTTGAAAATATTTTTACATATTTATTATATGTTTATAACATGGACCTTTCTTTTACTGCTATAATCATAGGATTTGGTACTGTTAAAAACTTCTTCCCCCATATCACCCTCGGTCCAACTTATCTTCCTCCTCTTCATTCCTACTCGAAAAGCTTGGGTGCATTTTCCCTTCATCAGATATCTTTGATGGTTCTTCATTGTCTGAAAAATGAAACTCTTTATAGTCTGATTCCAGCCTCCTTTTTATTGTCATCTTTATCTTCTATTCAGGATTCTCTAGCTAAATTTAGGTACTTGTGTTTTCAGAATTCTCCCCACTTGGATGCTTACAGAATATTTTTGTGCCTAGGATGCCTTTCCCCTTCTTACCTCAGCCTTATAAAGTCCTGTTTATCAAGATTACTTGTTGTTATCCTCATTCTGACTTGTTTGATCACTTTAGCTCTTGTAGACCTCTTTTTTTTCCCCCCCTGAAATCGATTACCTAAGTTCACCACCCTTAGGTACTAAGCCTCATTTCAATTATGCATTTTGGAGTAATGTTCTTTAAAAACAGCAGTCTTTCTTGTACATCCAATCTTGTGCAATAGTCTAGCATTGTATATGCTCTCTGAAGATTTCATGTTTACCTAGCTGCCTAGTGCTGTCTTCTAGAGTAAAGGGAGTTTTAGTGAAGCTAACACAAGCTATACATATGGAGATTTGCCCAATATGACTTTGTCCAGTGACATTCCCTCTCTGGAAATAGTTATTTGCTTAACAAATGCTGCATGAGTTTCTGCCCTTAAGAAATAACATTTTTCTTTTATCTGCTTTAATTCAATCATTTACATAAGGCAGGGACGTGAGGATGATTTATAACCATGTTGCTTCATTGTCCCATTGATCAATTTAATGAATTCATGTATTTCCCGTGGATTATTGTGTTACATTTTCACCCAGCTCATCCAGCCATCAGGCTAGACTCAGGGACAGGGCTTTTCATTTTAGAAAAGAGATCCAACTATATAATAGTGAGTTGGTGAGAACTGGTATAAAGCCTGGCCCTCATAATTGGCATACCTGGGATAGTTAGCCTATTTAAGGAAGGCTTCTACTCATCTAGGACTCACTCACTATGGTTATCTGATCTCCATATATAGGCACTTTTTTTGCCTTTAAACAAATTAGCCAAGTGTATCTTAGAAGAATACCTACCTGATGAATTCTATCCCAAAATAAAGTTTAAGATGTGGCACTCCAGAATCTATTATGGAGTCTTTTAAAAGCTAACTTCAGCTCTAATATGTGAATTAATGAAATAAATCAACCTTGAGATAAAAATGAGAACAGGCATAACAAAAGGAAATGCTAAATAAAAAAAAGTGTAGTGAGGTGCAAAATTATAACACATGTGCTTGTTCCAGAAACAAATACAGAGGCTTCTTTTTATAGATTTGGAGGATTTCTATAATAAGATAAACAAGAAGTTCATGGGTGTGGTCTGTATAAATAATATCCTACTGATAGGAAAAATGACAGAATAAACAGGATATAATAACAGTGCCTGCTGAATTTCCCAGCATGTTATTTGTAGCTTCTTTCACAGAGTCACAGCTGCTCCCACCAAGGGTGGATTTTTACCTCTGTTAGAGGTCAGGCAGGATTCTAAATTCTGACTGACAGTGGTGGGATGGGGAGTATAGCCCTTGCTTTAGAAATAACCCACACATGGGACATCTGGGTGGCTCAGCAGTTGAGCATCTGCCTTTGGCTCAGGGCATGATCCCAGAGTTCCGGGATCAAGTCCCACATCCGGCTCTTTGCATGGAGCCTGCTTCTCCCTCCGCCTGTATCTCTGCATCTCTCTGTCATGAATGAATAAATAAAATCTTAAAAAAAAAAAAGAAAGACCCACACATGGGTTTTATATTCACTTTCAAAGAAATGTAAAACATTTTCTTTGGCTTTTAGAATTACTAAAACATGATTTTCTTTTTAAATGACCTCTGGGAAAAATCAAGCAGGCAAAATAAATGAGTAAGTGGGCAGAACTTGAGTGAGTGTTTATCAGCCCAAAAAACACACTAATTGGATTTATATCCTCTTAAAATGGAAGAAGAAAAAAATTTATATCTCTGAACTTTAAGAAATCTAACACAATTTTGTTTTCTTGAATGATAGTAGTATAATGAAAAAGCAGCCATGAAACTTTAGAATACCAAAGTTCTAGTCCTTCTGTCTGTAGCCTTGGGGTCCTGGAGAGAATCATGTAGCTTTTCTGAGCCTCATTTTCCTTATTTATAAGATGAGGGGCTTTGACCAAATATTTCCAAGAATCTTCTTGAGTTACCAAATTCTATTCATTTTGTTTGTTTGTTTTTTTAAAGATGCATTTATTTGTTTGAGGGCAGCCCAGGTGGCTCAGCAATTTAGCACCACCTTCAGCCCAGGGTGTGATCATGGAGACCGGGGATCGAGTCCCACGTCAGGCTCCCTGCATGGAGCCTGCTTCTCCCTCTGCCTATGTCTGTTCCCCCCTCTCTCTCTCTCTCTCTCTCTCTCTCAACTGACTGAGCCACCCAGGCGCCCCAAATTCTATTCTTTTTTTAAACAAAGTTCATTTAACCAATGTGCATCTTACTGTCTCGTTCCCAAAATGTAAGAATAAGTGTAAAGAGAAGTTCTGAACCAGTTTTAGAATGTTACAACTGTACTTAGATCACTTCCCTTTTTTAAATTTATCTTTGAAATGAAGTTTGAAAACGCTGCATATTCAATTTAATTATAATAATTTCCCTACAAAGTAAGGTATGTATTGATCCTCTTCCTAAGCAGAGAACTTCAGGCCAGATTTTAAAAACCAACTAAAGTGTCAGTATATCTTTTTTAAAAATAGGCTTCATTTTTTTAAGGCAGTTTTAAGTTCACAGCAAAAGTGAGTGGAAAGTATAGAGTTCCTGTTTACTCCCTACCTTCTACACATGCACAGCCTCCCTACCAGCACAATCTGGCACCAGAGTGCTACATTTGTTATCATGTGTAAACCTACATTGACATCATTATTGTCACCAAAAAGTGCATGGTTTACATTACGTGTAAATAAT